CATGCATTTACAGCTAAAGTTTAGCACAACTACGAAATAAGTGTTTAATGAAAATCGAATGGTTTAACAGTTATACCACAATTAAGTATTTATTTCATTACCAAATCCCCAAACAAATACGAAAAGTAAACTGAAACTACTCCATACATATTCACATGGTAGTACACACAAATATATGGACAAATTTGTGATACAGTGGAAAGCAAAACGCCCACTGCAAACGAGCCAATAATTTCAGGAATTCACCTAAAAGAGCTCAAGCATAAAAACGCACCAAAAAAAAATGAAACCGAAATAGAAATGGAAATGGAAATAGAAAAAACGAATGTGGCAAACGAGTTGTAGACAAACTAAACTTAATTTACGCTCGAAATTGAATTAAAAGTTTATTAGCACAACTGAATACAAATACGGTGACTTTGTGCTTTGCTGCACAGGAACGTTTCGGCAATCTATGTTTAATTGCCACACACACCTGAGGGTGCGCGCGTTTGTAAGAGTGTATGGCAATTTTTCCAATGTTTTGTTCGGCACAAATGGGTAAGAGCTTCTTTTGTGCTTATACATCCAGTTAACATTTGCTGTGCTTTGCTGTTTCGCCAAGTTCGCTTTCGGTCTCAGCATATATACCTACTCCAATGAACACACATATATATATACATAAATAGATGTGCATGTATGAATATTTGCAAATATCAATAGCTGTATGAGTATAAGTTTCTGTGTGCAACAAAAATCAATGAATAGAGAGCGAAGCTGTTAAAGCTGAGTCAAACAACAACAAAATTCGAAGTATTCTAGTTATTTAATGGATATGGATGATGCTTGCGTACAGTTGGGGAATGTGGTATTTCTCGGTGTGGCATCAGAAATCAATTAAAAATGTAGCTAATTCACTAGTTAGTGGAGTACAGACGTTTGTACTATATATTAGGGTGCACCATTGCCTATACAAATCTTTTGTTTTTCCATCAGAAGACTTCCAAAAAATTTCCCACAATTTTTGTAAACATATCAAGGTCATATCGTTGATATATCGGCGACATTTTATATTCCCTGGCTACCAATGAAAATAATGCTATTGTGTGTTACACTTTACAAGTGATACGTGATTCAAGTTAGCATCAGTTCCGCTCGAAACACCTTACAAGAGCTAAGCAAGCGGAAACTGAAATACTTTCCTAACTATTCCGAGTAGATAATACCTCAAGCTTAGATCACTCCGCACTCAGACATTGAATTGGCATTTTTTCCTGACTGTGTCTTTTTTCCATTCCTCCATCGAAGAAAGGCGGATTTGGAATTTGGTGTTGATTTATTCTATTTCTTAGCTTCTTAAATTCGAATGGCAAAGCAAAAAGCTACTTCCTGTCCAAACATATATTTTGGTCCAATAGAAGATTGTTCCTTAACATACTAGCCGTTGGATTTTGCTCTTTTTCCTGATGGCAATCATCTTGGTCTTACCACCGTGATGTAGGCTTAACGAACGAAGAGCGATGTTGTCTAGCTAACTCCAACCGCTGCACTATAGTGAGAACGTGTTAAATGATACTTGAAGAAGACTAGTTAATGTCGCTAAATGTATAGCAATGTCGTCTTACTACGAATTTCCTGGCAAAGCAACCTCTGAGCTATGCGTTTATAATCCATTCTGGTCTTTGGAAAATTTTTCCAGGGACTAAAAGTAACTGTTATCTCTAATTTACAAATTTAAAATGTTGACCAAATTCTGAAATTTAACATAAAGGTTGTTCTATAACAGTTATTAGAAGAGAAATATTTTTTGGTTCGCTGATAAGAGTTATAACCCAACATTTATTTTTTACGTTACTCGATAACAGTTAATTTCCCATGTTTATTTTTAATTTGTCTGAGGAGCTGACGCAAAGTGGATGAGTTAATATGACAGTAAGCGGAAAATTTCATCGCGACAATCTAACATGAGAACCAACGAACGTTGAATGCTCTTAACAGAGCGGAAAAGTCAATTACGACCTCTACAAATTGGTGGCCATAACCTTGGATGCGTACGTCATAGACTTGAATTTAAGACCAACATTTTTTGGGTCATACAAAAACACAATGCCACTAAGCACTAGATTATTTACATCTTACTCCGCAGTAATTCTCACACAAAAGAATTTCGGTCAGATCATTAATAATATATTAAATTTTTTTTGCTATTTTCTTAAGCACTAAAACGCTATTAAAAATATCTGAAGTTACCGAAAAGTTTAAAAATAAATTTCAATTAAAATGGTACTAAAAACTATAAGCTTAGGCGACTTGAATTTCCTCTCGTACGCATGTATGTATGTACGTACAATGTGCATACATAAATAAATATGAAATAGAGTTCCGCTTCTTACTGCCTTAGCCGAATGCCAATTTTTCAATATATCAGCAACAGTTACTACCCCACTCATACTGCCTCCCAATGGAGCGCATATTTTTAGCTTTCTTCCCAGAAATCACAGAAGTTTTCCTGCTTGGAACTTTACGCCATAATCAAGCCACTGCCAGCAACGCACGAATGCCAAAATCTATTTTAATTATTACTCATTTAGTTAGTTAGGAAGAGTTGTCAATTTTCTTTTACCGCACTTTTGGCGCTGCAAGCCATTGAAATTTCGAAATAATCGTAAAAGGAAAATACGAAAGCACATTGCAAAAGCGTATGTAGCGGCCACATAAACTGAGATAATAGCGCTGTGCAATGAACCACGGCCACGCAGAGAGTAAACTAAATTGAAGCCACAATAAAGTTTCTATCAAAACGACATTCTATCTAGCTATGTATGTAAATATGTGCATGCATACGTTTGTGTGTGTGTGTGTGTGTGTGTGTATGTATGCGCTCGACTATTTGTATAGCACAAAAACGCATTAAACCGAGGAAACTCAGAGTTTCAGAGTTGGAAACCATTCAAACCACTGCAATGCACACAGCTAATTGGATAGCTAAGATGGACTGAATAGTAAACTACTAGTTACACTTACATGCAAACACACATACAATTTTTTTTTGTTGTAGTTGTAATGCTTAAGTTAGTGGCCTGCAGTTGTGACGAAAATCGTGTGAGAGCATAAATGTGTATGTAAAATATTTTTCTTTAAATATTTAAGCATAGCTATGTATGTATGTTTGTATCTGTGAAAGCGTGTGTGTGTATGTGCAAATACTTGTAGAAATACTCTCCACTCCAGCAACCGCAGCCTGTCTGTGGTGACATTAAGAATTTTACAAAGTTTTCGTAGCAATGATGACCGCCACTTGCTGGCAGCAATGGTGCCAGAGACAGACAAATGTCATCATGGCGACACTGTGTGCCCACGAACAACGACAAATCAACGGAAGTCATTTAAAATTATGCACTTTGAGGGATGAAAAGTTTGCACATGAAATATGTAGGCGCTGTGGAGAGATGGCGGTAGGAGAAACTTTTTGGCATAGTATGTATGTACTTTTTTGGAACATAGTTAATTATATGATTATACAACTAAAACCAAAAATTTTCAAAACACGCGAGGCAATCAATATGCTCACGAAATAAATATAGTAAAAATAAATAATATTGGGCCTTATGAATAAAAACTAAGCAATTATTTTTTTCTTAAAATATCAGATGTTTTACTAGACTAATTCAAAAAAATTTAAGCAAAAGGTCTGAAATTTAAAGAAAAATCAATTGCGTAATTTTTATTCATAAGGCCCATTCTCTATGACGTCAGAATTTTTTTAAGGCACTTTGAAATTTCAAAGAATTAAAAAAAAGACACAGTTCAATGGAAATTTAAAATATATAAAATTCTATGCAGTAAAAAAAAATAATGTTGGTTGCTTACATAGACGAATAGTGGTTGAAAATGATGTTTTCATTATTTTTATTTCAACAAGCTTATAAAGTAAGAAGGAAGAAATTCGTAGATGCGGATTAGTGCTGATAATATGTTTTTTTTTTTAAATAAATATCGCAATACTGTTATTGTTTCATACGCTGGGTGGCTAGTGACGCGTTCCTGTTGAAAACACACATATTGAGGCGTATTCTGGTTTCCGTACGAAACGAAAATATGAAATTGGTGTATAGAAAATGTTATACAAATTTCATGAATTTCGATTCGTACGGCAACAAGAATACACCGCATTGTCTAATTCCATATCATCTGGGTCGTAAAAAGTTTGTCATTATGTCACGATAAAACTAACCGTTCACCGTAACAGCATTACCGTCATTTTTTTGGAAGTAGACTTCCAGTACCCTAAATGTGGCAGTTTGCTTGTTAACGTATCCGCTAGGGTGAAAATTTGACTCATAAAAATGGTCGAAATGCATTTCTTGAAGAACGACAATTTTCTCCAAACATTTGGATAACTTTTACGTAGGTACTGCTCAAGTGAGTATCGCTCCAAGACTAAGTTTGCCAAAGCCTGTAGCACCAATTATCTAAAACGTAAAAAACAAAGATAACATTAACAAGCACAAATAAATAATTTCTGTTAAAATTCTGCATCACCCTTGAATTACCCTATGGACACAATGAAATATCCTTTCTTTTCTTTAAGTCACAACACCATAGGATGCTCAGTTTTCAAATACCTCTTCTGTCATGCTGCCCAAAATTTGTAAACCACCTGCTTACCTTTAACTAGCAAAATATATACATATATATAAATAAAAGTTCGAGAGAAATGTGAAGTAAAACATAATTATATTCAACAATTTCATTGAGCTTGTTGAGGCTGTTTTTAATGAAAATTTTAGTGGAAAAATAAAATTGTTGATTATAATTGTTATAGGGTCATAAATAACAAAAAGTGAAACTTATTTTTTTTCCCCGCCATAGCACCACATATAGAATATTCATTCAAGGTATACGTTTGTGTGCGCAGAGGCATTTCATAATATATTACGCAGCAAGTATTATTATTATTATTATTATGAGCCTTGAGCACTGCGACCTCTAAGGTGGTCTATTGTGCGTGGCCTTTTACCCTATATATGAAGGCTTTTAATATAAGCTAGCACTTCGGTGGGCTTTTTGTTCCATATTTCGAATGGATTAAGTGTTGTACCGCCTAGGTGAGCGAGTCTGCGTCTAGCGAGAGCAACACATTCACAAAGGATGTGTTCTGGCGTTTCTTCGTCCATCTCACAGAAGCGACAGACGCTCGTGTCTGAAAGATTCATTTTACTGAGGTGATAACGCAGGGAACAATGTCCCGTGTAGTACCCAGTGAGAGTTCGAAGGTCCTCCCTGCCTAGATTTATGAGCTTTTTTGAAGCTTCTTGTGATGGACAGATGAACCGCTTAGCTTGTCTTTGCCCCGGACATTCATTCCAGTGCCTTTCGAATTTTTTGTCGACCCACTTGTTTATGACCTCCCTTAAGTGGGCTTTGGTGAGCCCGCAGAAGGGTTCCGGGCCATAGAATAGTGTGGTAGCTCCGTGTTTTGCTAGGCGGTCCGCCTGTTCATTGCCGTCATGGCCCTCGTGCCCCGGCACCCAGCCCAGTAATACTGTGTTCTTGCTTCCAAGACCGTTTAGGGTGTTGAGGCAGTCGTACACTAGTTTGGATGTTATTATGTGGGACCTCAGTGCTAGCAAGGCAGCCTGACTGTCCGACATAATGCAGATGTTTTTAGAGGATGTGCCTCTTCTGAGGCATTCTCTGCCACAGATATCGATCGCATGAATCTCTGCTTGAAAAATGGTGGGGTAGCTGCCCATTGGTATCGATCTTTTAAAATTCGGCCCCAATATACCAGCTCCAGTTTTTCCATCTTCAAGTTTTGATCCGTCAGTGTACCAAACTTCAGCTCCGGGTTTGGTGTAGGGGTTTCCTGTGCTCCAGGATGCTCGGTCCGCAATAGATACCTTGAAATTCCTAGAAATTACTAGTATCGGAGCTACTGAGTCCCTCATATGCATTATGGGGTCATTTGTGAATTTCATAAGGACCTTCATATGACCTGTCATGTTTCCGGTTTTTAACTCGGAAGTGTTTAGGATTCTCAGTGCCGAGAGACTGGCCTCCCTCTCTATTAGAATTGGGAAGGGCGGCATGCCTACAAGAGCACTAAGTGCATCAGCAGGACAGGTCCGCATAGCCCCTGTTATACCAATGCACACCATTCGGTGTAGTTTGCTTAGTTTTGCGCTAGCAGTTCTTTGTGTCGCTTTTGTCCACCATGCCAAGGATGCATAGGTGACTATCGGCTTCACAACTGTGTTGAATGACCAGTAAGTCATTTTGGGGGAGAGTCCCCATGTCTTCCCGTAAAGTCGCTTGCATGCGAAGAAGGCTCTCATTGCCTTGTTTACGGTTGCATCCAAATGTACATTCCAGGTGAGTGTCTTATCTAGCCACACCCCCAGGTATTTTGCTTCATTTGAGAGCCCTATTCTAGTGCCGCCCAGAGTCAATTCTGTCATGGATAACTTTTTCCTCCGGGTAAATGGAACCAGAATAGATTTAGTAGGATTAATGGATAATCCTTTGGTGTCACACCATCTTTGCGTAATGCGCAGGGCTTGTTGCATGCGGTTGGAGATCGTTTCGTCATGCAGCCCTGTTACACAAATTACCAGATCGTCTGCATATCCTTGTGTTTCAAAGCCATGGTCGTTCAGTAGGAACAGGAGTTCGTCTATAACCATAGTCCACAGAAGAGGAGAGAGTACACCCCCTTGAGGGCAACCTCTTGTGGCTGTAATCGATTCTTTCGTGCCTCCCAGCTCCATCCTGATCTTCCTTGTTTTTAGCATAGAAAGCACCCAATTTATTATGATTGGGCTCACTCCCTTGCATATCAGGGCATCTCTTATTGCCCTGTATGACGTGTTGTCAAAAGCCCCTGAAATGTCAATGAAGGCACAAAGGGCTATGTTCTTAGACTCCAGAGCCTTTTCGATTTTCGATGTAAGGCTGTGAATGGCAGTCTCAGTGGACTTGCCTGGTTGATAGGCAAATTGGTTCTTATTCAGTGGTCGTTCCGCTAGGTTGACTTCTCTGATATGTTGATCCAAGATTTTCTCCATGCCTTTTAGGAGAAAGGAGCTGAGGCTAATTGGTCTGTAGGATGAAGGCATTTGCTCCGGTTTACCTGCCTTCGGTAAAAATACCACCTTAGCCTCAGTCCATCTACTGGGAATGTGACCCAGTAGGAGCGACGCTCTGTATAGTCTGGAGAGGACTGGGGCTATGTAGTTACTACCTTGTTGGAGTTGACAAGGATAGACCCCATCTGGTCCTGGTGATTTGTATGGGCTGAAGGTAGATATCGCCCATTGCACTCTTTCTACCGTGGTAAGTTTAGTTGCAAGGCTTTGCTCTCTACCAGAAGTGCGTGCTGGGACACCCAATTCCGGTAGATAATAGCCCGCTTTGCAGCCCGGGAAGTGAGTGTCTAGCAGAAGTCTGCAAGTCTTGAGGACACGCTTGCCGAAATACTAATACGGAATGGAACTTTTCGTAACCTTGAAATTTAAATGTTTTTCTATTCTAATCGCAAGTATAAATATTATTAAAACATAAATATTATTAAAAACTAATTACATACATTTCTCTGCAGAGTTTCTCTATACTGTGTGCGCTGAATTCACTGAAGCTTCAAAACATATAATGTACTCGCAGGAAAACAAGGACGTTGTGATAGAGAATGATTAAAAAATTAAAAGAGATGAGACTTAAATCAAAAAGGAAAATTTGTAGGCACAGAAAAAAAGCCTTGCCTGAAAAATATTTATAGATGTGTTTTCTTATATGACACATCTCATTTTGTGTAGTCATTCATATATGCGCATTAGGGTGCCTCACCAAAAGTCCAGTTTGGTAATATTAAAGCTTATTATATTTCAATTTATTATAGCAAAAAATAAAACATAAAAATATTTTCCTAATAGCGGTCGCCCCTTGGCAGGCATTGGCAAACCTCCGAGTTTATTCTGTAATGAAAAACCGCTTCTCATCAAAAAAAGACGTCGTAAAATTGTAGGTGCCGCCAAACACTAGCATATTGTGTAAATGACTATTATACTTAAAGGTTTCCACCAAAATATTTTGGTAAAATATTAAGATTTACGTAAGTTGAGCCGATTGGAAAAGACCCCAAAAATCTAGTTTTTTTTAAATGAAATACGTTTTTAAAAAAATATTTTTTTCCGAAAAAAAAATCACCTAAGATGGTAGAAGAGTTTAAGCTTAAAAGTTTACCTGCATAAAAAACTACCGATTTTTTTTTTGTATGGAGAGTGATACACCCTAACGTACAAAAACTATGCTCCAAAATATTTTATCATTTATCCTTTACTTTTCAAGTATTAGGTAATCTTCAATTTCGCCACAATTGCACGCTGTTCTGGTGGTACGTGCTCTGTATAAAAATGTAGTCATGCACATGTGCGTGAGTTGATGTTACCCTGCAGGAAATGCATCTTAGTATAAGCTAACTTGAAGTTGATTAAGAAAGAGCTAAAAGTCACTATTATCTGTATATTTTCTTTGACGAAAACTAACTACATTTCGATGGCGATGGTCGTGAAATATTTAAGGTTGGTTACCTCTGCATTTGATGATGACTATTTTTGAACATAAAATATCAATAGGAAAAACAAAATATTTTCTTATTTTTTTAATTTTTTATTTATTTACTTTTTTTTATTTTATTACATTTCATATCTGTTTAGATATTCTGCTGTGGGTGGTCCCATATTTGAACTCCATCAGACATAACTTCAAAATGATAATATGAAATTTCGATCTTCCTTTTATTTGTCCTCAATTCGAAAGAGTATTTGCGAGGTGCAGAATATTTAAATAGAAACGAAAGAAAATATTCCCCTGCATTACTTGTCAACTAGTTTCAAGTTAGCTTTTTGTAGCTAACTACAAGTTATATATTTTATAGAAATCTCGCAAAAAAGCTAACTACAAGTGGGTTATTTTTTATCAATTGATGGTTTTTTTCTGTAGGGTAGTATATGTACATATATATACATATGTATGTCTGCATGGTGCTTTTAGTTTCTCACTTACCTCCTCATCGGCTAAAACGAAGTATTTTAACTCTTTCAATTTTTCGACGTGTTGGCGGCGCTAGCACAAAGCGCATTTCGTGACATTTTTGTATGCAATGCGCTCGGCTGAGGTTTTTTGTTTACGCTTGAGTCGCAAAAAGTTTTTTTGGAAAATTTTCACATTTGTTGACTTTTAACACTAAGCTGAAACTTAGTTATCCAAGTAAATAAAACAAAGTCAAGTGAGCGAGTGTATGTAATAAAAAATTAACGCCTCTAAATTTGTGTATTGTTTTAAGTTATAACCCCGACGATGTTTTAATGATAAAGCTGACTTTGAAGCTGTAAATTCATTAGATATATCGGTCGAAAGAAATTTAGATAATTTCTCGGGAATTAGCGTAGGAATATTATAAGTAACAGATCTATACTTATAACTATCAAGTGGATTGTCTTCTAATATAATCTGTTTGATTAACCTAATAGAAACTAAATACTTCAGTGATTATTTTTCGTTCCAAATAAATATATGTATTCAACCATTATAACATTTTTCACCCTTTAATGTAAGTGAGGTTACTAGTTAATGAACTGACTATAACAGATCAAGGGAAACTGCGACGTAGAGGATCTTCTGCTTCCTATGATAAGTCTCTTACCCTGAAAGCCTACTATATGCTAACAGTACTTTGGTAGACTAATTCCTTATATTAAGGGGTTTCGAATTCCTTATTATATGGGGTTCGACTTTGATATTTCTTCTTCTTTAAGACAAAGACGGCATTTTGTGTCCGAGGTCAGGTAAATCTGTTGCAGTTGCTAAAGCCCTCTATCGCTCCCCACTTACAACAGCGTTCTGAGTTTCTTTTTCATGGCTTTTAAATCGACAAATGTATGATATGTGTTGATCGCCTTCTAGCAGGTCTTTCCTAAGGTTTGGCGTATGGTCAGTACCTGGGCAAACGTGGATTTACTGCGCTGGCATTCAGTCTTTCATACTGCAGTGCACCACCACAGTGGTCTGAGAGTGGCCGAAAGTACTCATTTCGAAATGTGTGATTGAATATTCTTTAAAAATCAATAAATTGCCCACATGTAACGCATATCTACTTCTGCTCATCATCACTAAATATACACTTTTATGAAATTGGTGTAAGAAGCATTAGATAGTTTGTCACACACATATGAAGAATATCTACATAAATACACTCACATCAGCTATAACCAATTAAAGAAACCAACTCTGCAATTTTCAGCTCAAATGACAGCCTCATTAAATGAGCAGACGTTTACGCTTCTTACACTTACCAAGCAAGTGACAAGTTACACACACACGTACGTGTAATGTATCCTTTTTAGTGCCATAAATGCACTTCACGTGCAGCCAGTAATGCAGTGCCACTGCAACACCGCACAACTGTACCACCGCCAACTAACTAACTAATCCTCAAGTAACACGATTCAACGCTATTCAACTTCTAAACGACGACGAGACGAAGTCAGAGAACTAAAAGTTGCGCTTTTGAACCGCACGTAAAATTTTACTATACAAATGCTAGTTATGCACCCGCATACACACACACACACGAATGCACACATATGTATGTATATGTATGCATGCATGCATTTCGTAGCAAAGACATGCAGGTACATGCATGCATACACAACGGCATTCATAGCTGCAAGGCAGAAAGATGTAACTGTGGCTCTGCTTGCAACTATTTACTTTAAATATGATATTTGCTGTAAGGAATTCATGTAAGGTAGTGCTCGGCATGGCATTGTGGTCGAATGCGTGTTTGGGTAAACCGCACACATATGTACATGCATATGCATGTTTGTATGTATATGCCTATATGTATGCTTGCGCGTTCATAAATAAGTAAGTACGCCCGCTCACGTTTTCGCAACGAAAGCTCGCTCATAAAATATACAAATTATTTGCGTGCAACGTGACTTTGACAGTCGTTTGTGGCAAGCGCATATTTTGTGAAATGAACTAATTCGAATTTGCTGCACTTGGCAACTCTTTTGCCACTTAAATATTGCATTAAACGAGCATTAAGCTACTTGAAGTTTAATTACTTCCGCTCGAGAAAGAAAATGTTTGTTTCAAATTAGTTCGAATTGATATAATTGCTGCAAGCAGATGGTAAATACATACATAGGTGAAAAATGCTAATCAAGTATTGCGATAAATTTGTTGATGAAATCATAAGCATACCGTTTATTATGTCAATCATTTTTGCAGCATTACTATTCTAATTATCTTTGCTTAAGAATTGAAGGTTTTCTAAAAAAGGGCGTGCAAATTTTAGGACCATAGTTTAAAAGTTTAGATTTTATTGTGGATTTTGGCAGAAAATCTATTCACTAACAAAGCTTGTTCCGCAACTTCTTTGTAAGAAACGAAAGTCCCATTTTTACAGTATATGAAGAAGGTAGATAACCCTACCTCTCACTTTAAACGGTAACTTTCGAATCTCATTGCATTCGCATTTACTTTCCAGCTCAAAAACTTCAATAATATTGTCTTAGCTTAAGTAGTATCGAATATATGAATATAGAGGAAAGGACTATTTTTGAAAAGCAGTGCCGGAAACCCTCCTTAGTAAGTTTTATGTGACATGGGGTTTTTTAAAGTTGATACCCTGACTTATTTGACATATGAGGGTTTTTCTAACAAAGGCATTTCTAGCGGTCGGAAAGGTGTTCCGCATACATCAACATTTTTTTATGGAGCATTTTGTATTATGCTCCATATTACCCATAGTGTTTGTGGCCTTTGCTTGGGCCATATGGCTTTTAAAACCTGGATTTAATGAGTTTTCAAAACGAGCACCTAATCGAAAATGGGCTGCATTTAAGGCCAACAAACACATCACTAAAATCGGATTTACGTGTCTAAATTGCATACATACATATGTATGTCTTAGAGAGAATCATGATTTACGTAGGTAGTTATTATAGAAGTTCCTATAAATGTATTTGTTTACTTATTTGCAAAAGATTTTCTCAAGATCCTTCCAATGCTTTAGTTGTACATACATAATGCTACTGATATTCAGATTCCA